TATTGTAACAGCGCCGCAATTCGTCAAAAGTCTTAAATAGTTGTTTTTATAGTGTGTGGGAAACATTTGTTTATCTGGATATGAAGATTAGAATCACGCTTTTCTAAAATTTTTCATTTCTAAGAAACAAAAAAAAACATTTTTCATGAAGGTGGTTATAAAAAGTAAATTTTTTTTCGATATTGTACAGGATTGTCTCAAACTCGACAGTATGAGCCTACTGTGAGGGTATACAAATTTTAAATAAAATTTGGGGCACGTGGTGTCCATTTTCAATCGAAAGTATTATCATTGGGATTTGCCAGAAACGACTAATGATATCATCAGTTACATTTTTTCCAGAAACGTACCCAAATTTTTTCATGTTAAAAAACCTTTCTTTTTTCTAATAAACTTTTATTAGACAAATTTTTCTGTATTATTCCCTGTTTAAAAGTTATAAACAATATCGTCCTAAAAATTCGCAAAAGAAATACTACCAAAAAATCGTATAGAATTTTATGGATTTTGTTCGAAATACTGTAACAGTCTAACTGTATTAACATTGTTTCTTACCCTTCGGTCAATTATTTGATTTTTTCGAACAGAAAATGCATCTTTATTTCGTCGCAAGGTCGCCTCCAATCTTGTAAAGGTTCTATGATCAGGAATGAGACTTTCTGGATCCTTTCTCGATATAACTCTACAGCTCTTCTTGAATTTTTTTGTGACTCGCCGTAAATTAGCATCATATCAATTTTTTCTGAATGAGAAAACATTTTGTAAGTACAAAAGTTATACTTTTGACGTTCGTATTGAGTAATGACAAGTATTTTGTGACATTTATGCACTTTAAACAACGAACATTCAATTATTTTCCAACGACTACTTGATCCTTCCACCGCTAGCGTGATTTTTAGGTGGTATTTCTTTAGGACGATATTTTAAGCGGGAAGTAATTCTCTAATAATAGTTTATTAGGAAAAAGAGAGTTCTTCAAAAGGAAAAAAAATCATTTTCAGTCTGCGATACCTTAGTATTGCTATGTATTAAAATAATAACCTCCGAAAAGATAAAAGATGTCTTCACTGTTGATGAGACTCCATATAGAGTTGGGAATTGATCTTGGATTAATCGATGAAAGATCTGAACATGAACTTAGTTGCGATGATGGAAGAGATATCTCCCCCAGACACGAATTCAGGTGTTCTAAACCGTGTGGTGGATTTCGAGGTTATACTTTTCGAAACCACCAAAGGGACTACTAATCGAGCAGATGTAAAACAGCAGACCACTAGGCAGATGGTGGTTAACCAAGGTTAGGAAGAAGGAACCATAAATAAAGAAGACGAAAAAACCTAAAAATAAATGCTGCCATACTCCAGAGGTACATGTAGGAATGTATCAAGCATTAGAAGCATACTAATGACCCTACACAAGCGATGCATGCGCATATTTTTGTTTCCCTAACATTTATTCGGTTCTGATCTAAGAATTACCCCAAATTAGGAAAATACGCGTTTTCCTTGAATACTAAGCTGTATTTGTAAAGAAGCATAACATACACAAATGCACATCACCCAAGAAGCAACCTCTTAGGCACTGTTTCGACCGAAAAACTTTATAAATATTTTAACGCAGTTTCAGGATTTCTTCTGAAGAAGAGAACGATATGTCTCTCGAAACGTCAAGAAGCCTAAACTGATGAAGTGGCATCCATTTCATCTATTCGACAAATTTTGGTAAACCAAGAAGAAAGATTTTAGCTACCCCAGACGTTGACACTGAAGCGTTGCTGAAATCGTCTTGATCTAACTGCTCCACCTGCTCTGAACACTTCCTCGTACCCTTGTTATTTTTTCCGTCATGTAAGTTATTGTTTCATTCGCAATCCAAAGGAGGACGTGGGGCAAACAGCATAACAGAAATGCCGGAACGTGCGATTTTTTAAATCGTGGTGTACATTATTTGGCCTGCACCGAATAATAAATATATAACTGTCGATTTCCTTAGGCTCCGTATAAATATGTGACTGAAGTGCATGTCTACAGATGTTTATGAAGAACGATTTAAAAATTCCAAGGCTGGCCGGCCTCCTTGATCTGTAACGAAACAAATACTATTCCGATTATTCCTTATCTTCACGTTATTAGAATATACACACAACTATTAGAAAAACTGAAGGACGCTGATCGAAAACAGTTTTATTGCTGCGTATTGCGTAATGGTAACAGACAATGCTACGTATGTTACAATCTTGGTTATTTTTTTTCAGGAGCAATCGAATCTGACCCAGATATGTTCGTCTATCTCCACAAATCATCAGCATTTAAAGTATCGGAAACTGTAGGTCGGTTTTTATTGTCACATAAGTGTTGTTAGTAGCAATGTTGTTTTTATTGTTGCACAGTCCTTTCAGTGTATTTTTAAAAATTACTGGTTTATTTTGTACCATTGAAAGAATAGTCCTTTTTATTACTTTACAGCTTTAGGAATTTGATAAATTTGATTAGAATTCAAGTCAATTTAGGACGGTTGAAGCCTGGATTTCAGCACCTCCTTATATTTATACAGTGTGTCCCAAAATGATGGAACAAAATTAAAAAAAAAATGTTGGTAATGTTATAGGTCTGTCAAACTTGGCTCAAAACAATAGAAAATATTGCAGAAAACTGTCAATTTCTATTTAATAATTGACCTGTTTTAGCGATTTTTTAAAATCTAAACTGGAAAAAGAATATGAATTTTGTTATATCATTTTGGGACACACCGGAATGTTACAATTTATTTTAAGAATGATGACAATATAATTATAGACCGATACAAAGATGTTCTATCAGTTTATTTTTTCAAATTACTGTCAGCAACAAAAACGTTCAGTTTGTGTTTATACTTTTTTATAATTTTAGTATAAAATTTGTATTTATATTTAAAACTACATTCCTGTTAATAAGTTAATTTTCGTTAACAATTGCAATTACTTACTGAACCCATTTTTTACGTGGAAATTTACAATGGCGCGGATTTGTGTTTTAATTCAAAGGCAGCGCGCGATTTTTTGCCGAAAAACATTTTAATCACCGTTACTTAAAATATCAATCGGTTTTTTTGCCCGTCAACCTCGCTAAACCCAGGACAACGAGTAAGGTCTCCACCTCACTCTCGACGTTCTTCGAACCTTCAGTGGTCGAATTAGAAATGTCCAACCTCGAAACAAAGACCTATCATGCCGCGCGCTGTTGCCACATTTCCGCAGATTTCCCTAGATCTCGACACGCAATTCAAATCGATCTTCGGTAAACAATCTCCATTCTTGCACTATCTTAGATGGTAACAAGCTGTAGAATGGAATAAATGCGGTGTTTGTGCGCTTTAATTTGCATTAAAGGCAGGTAAATTTGGGTATTATAATTGATGTTTACAAAAAATTTTCTTCGGTAAATATTTATAGTTTACTTTTTGCATTTGTTTTTGACGGGGAATTTGGTTAAACACTCGATTATTGTAATAATACAAGAAATCTCTAGAATTAAGACAAAAATATTTTTCTAGCATACTTTGTGAAGAAATCTCAGAAGTATTCTATGTTGTTTTCTGTTTCAGGAATTAAATGTTCATTCATATTTGTTTGAATTTTCTTTACTTTTTTGTTTCTTTTATTTTTCATTTGTTTTATTTCCAATTATGTACTTTGAAATCTGTGTTTTTTTATTTTAATTTGTGTTATTTCCTCAATTGTTTTTTGAATGTTTAATTTTTTCGTTATTTCTTAAATTGAATGTTTTTTTTTTACTTTTGGTTTATTTATTTCCACATTTACATTTGTTACGACTAAGTTATAAGAGCTTGTTTTTTTTTGCCACCTTGGAGGGCTTGTGTATGTCAGCTTTAGGAATTGCGTGTGGTAGCTTAAGCAGCTTACGAAAATTTTTCTGAATTATTAAAAATTTGATTTATTGAAAAAATATTAACTTACAATAAACGGATTATTGATACACAAGGCTTTATACAAAGCAAAATGGTCAGGATCCGTAGCTGGCTATTTAACTGCATCAGGGCTGACGTTCGATCACGGTCCTTGATGGGTCCGCTGATGTTCTGCAACGAAGTCTGCCTTAACTGTGAACCATTGGCCTCTGTGGAATTTGCCCTTCTTTTGACTTTTAAACTACGACGGATGATTGCCTTTTGTTCTCAGTATGTTGCTTTCGTGGTTGTTTTTCTAGTTTCCCAGTTCGAATTTCGTAAAAATCGGAAAACTTTGCAGTTTCCGAAATTCGAAACTGGTGTGATTTTTATATTTTCGCAGCCCGTCGTCGTGGGCGTTTTTTCTACCAACAGCATCCGCCTCTGGCGGTGTCGTCTTCTGCGGCTTCGGTGTTTCGGCGGAAAATTTGGAAAGTTAAGTGAAAAGTTAATTTCCACGCTGCGCCTTCTGCTGTTTGTGCGAAGTAGTTTAAGTCCCTTTGGACACTTTGGCTGAGATTGGCCCTACAAAGAGCGGTTGAAGACTTGGCTTCGATTGGAAGGTTGAGCGAAAATTTAAAATGAATAATGAAACCTGTACAACACATTATTATGTCACAAATGAATTTATTTACATTTTTTGTGTATAAATACCATTATAAATATGTAAAAAGTGGTTGCAAATTCCCACAATTTTTATCAATGTGTCTGATACCATTTTTTCGGGGTATTTGCGATTCTAATTGTTTATAATTATTCGTGTTTAACTATTCATATCTTTCTTGCCATTGTCTATTCAATAAGTACACCACGAAATCAGTGTTTAGGTCTGAGGGAGGTGTTATAGCTACTTATGTAAACGGCAGTTTTCGCTATCTTTGATTTTCCGTCTAAACGGCGATAAATTAAAAAAAAGCGGCCGCCCAACACCGACATAGGGCCGGCCACGGACATGGCAATGCCGCGGCGCGCAACCTTGCATTCGTATCAAGTCGCCCGTGCTCGCCGCCTGCTTAGATCGACTTAGCTAAGCAGACTTAGGCGACGCGAAATATCGCGCTGTGGCGTTCAGTTGTTTTACAATCGCGTCCGTTCGGCGCGGTTTTGATGCCATCAGCCCAGCCGGCTCTCGACCAAGCGCCGATATTCACCGTTACTTCACTCAAAACAAATGCAATTCGTTGACTCGCGTTTCGGGGACCGCACCGCTCGCTCGCCGCTCTAAACAATCGACGATCGCGCTGGTTTCGGACAGTGTGCGCGCCTCCATGTAAACAAACGACCGCCGGGGTGGACCGCAATTGTTTTTCGCGGCGTGCACGATTTCGGATGCGCTTCTTGTGGACGTTGTCAGCGTTTGACGAGGGATTCTTTTTTATCGAGGGCTCAGGAGCAGCGAACAGTGCCCCAGTACGGTGGTGTTCCTTTTATCGTATTTTAAGTGCTTAGTAAGTCTAATTTTAAGGCGGCTGACCTGATTTTTTGCTGGATTATTTTTATTTGGACGTGTGTTGACAAATATATTACTGTGAAGGGAAGTGCGTACGGCTTGTAGTGTTCAGTGTTTATTTTCAGTGGCTTTTCTTATTGGATTACTATTTATGGATTTATTTACATCGACGGATGGACGGATTAAGGTTAGAATTAGATAAGATACGGCTTTTGTAAGAGCTATTGTCGAGATTCGAAATTTTGAAGTTTTGGCGGATGCGCCAGGGGTGAGCCTATTGAAAGCGGGCTTCGGGATGATTGTTTTAATCACTACACCGCCACAATACGGCAGAAATAAACTCCACGTAAGGTTTTTGATATGCGCTTAAGTTGATGATTGTTAAATACTAATGCAGTAAATAGAATTTCGTTTTGTAAATATTTTCGGCTTGATAAAATTGTTACACGTCGTAGTTATAAATTAGAGGTTGTTTGAAACAAACAAATATAAGTATTATTCGACTGTTTCTATAAACAAAACTTGGGCGATATCTTAAATTGTACGAAAATGAAACGCAACTTTCAAAAATGTAATTACCTAAATGAAGACCCACATTGTTTTATAAAAGACAGTATAAAAGATCGATACAAACGGCAATTTTTTCATTTTTTATTATATTTACCAAAATCGAAAAAAAAATTGAAAATATCCCTAATTTAATTCTTTGTATCGCAAATTTCTTCCGAACTTTTTTCATCGTTAAATTCTCTTCGCGTATACAGTTATACAGGGTGTTTTAGAAAGTACAGATCTAATTTTAACAACGTCTATTTATATAAAATTGGAGCAGTATAATTTTTTAATATTCGTGTCTGAATATTTAACAATTGCGTGTTACGGTCCTGAACAAAATCGAGAAGAGGTGCGCAATCATGAAAAATGCATAATTTTTGGGTGCGCAGATATTTTTAAATTAATTTAATAGTTTTAAATACTGGTGCGTTGAATTTCTTATCTTCTCTACAAATGTTGAATGCAAAATTTAAAATTACGATAAATGTTGGAAATTGTCCCCTTTCTCTCCGTACCTATTCAACCGTGTGAATTTCTTATCTTCCCGCAATTAGTAATCGCATGGATCTAGATCTGGACTTACCAAAAAACAAATTCATTCCATCCTATCCACCTACTCGTTGAAAAAATTGCGGACCTCTCATCGAATGTGGATGCCCATTTTCAATTTTCCCGATTTTTTGGTATTATTTTGTACCCATTTAGAGCAGCAAAACCTAAAGATGTCAATGTTCACTTGATTTAAATAACGAAAATAATATTGTAATAAGTTTTAATGACAAAAACAATTCAAGGCACTTATACACAAATAAAAGCTCAGCACGAAATGTCAAATGTAAGATGGGCGTTATAGCTGTATATTGTTGCACCAAAGTAGTGTTTAAGAGAATTAACAATTACATGAGTTAAATTCTTCAAAGTGGCGCTTGGATCACTAGCGAGTTCTAGAAACTGATTTTTTTTATTTCGTCGTTAAGCTATCTATATATAAATCTTTAACTAAATGCAAATTGTCAAATTATGCAAAACAAACTTTTTAATATTGAAAAAAAAATTAGGAATATTTATTTAATAATAATACAGATATTTAGTAATGACAATATTAAATAGAGTAGTTTTAAAAATACCGTAATTTTTAATAGTTTACTAATCACGATTTACTTCTATAATTTTTTTTAATTCGAAAAAACAATGGAATAAAAAAGATGTCACTGTAGAACTTTTCTCGTAAGTTTAAATATTGAAAGACGATTTGTTCAGAATTTTTTCAATTAAAAAAAACGCCACTTTTTTCCTAAAGCACTTTTTTTAAAAATAAATAAGACGTCAAAAAACTAAAAATGTATTGTTTTACATTTTTTTTTTATAAAACTACATACATCTCAAAACGAACAATTACTTTACAATCTACTGAAATACTTTTTCGACATTTTTGATATAGTAGACCTTAGACATTAGATTTTCTCCTAATTTTCTTAAGCGTTAATAATCTTGAAATTAATGAAAAACTAAAGTAAATGAATAGTGTGTTGCTTTGTACTAGTCATGAATCGCAGATGTTTAAGAGTAGACGTTCGATCGCACAGCTTGATGGCTCCGCCAAATTGTCATTTTCGCATTTCAGGCGTTCGTGGGACAGAGATGAAAGAAAAAGTTTATGATATCTTTGGTTTTTGACAAGTTACAGGTATCTGAAAATTGTTTATCCAAAATATTCATCAAATGCTCGTAACTTTCTTGAGGGTTTGAAATAAAAATTTGAAAAAATTCATGAAAGCTAGGTACTCTAAATCATTACTAAATAATACCAAAAAATCAGAAAAATTGAAAATGGTCAGGTCTACTCAGTGATTTTGCTGCAATTTTTTATATTTTTTAGCTTTTTTATTGAACACTGAAGATTTAAATTAATTTTATTACGCTAGACCTTGCAATTTTTTTCATACCAAGTGCAATTTTAATAAACCATAATAGGCCAGAAAAACAAAAAAGAAATTAACTACCTATTACCAGTTGCACTTTGAAATTATATAACACAAGATACATATTAACACGATATTTTTACACTTGTTTGTTATTAATACCATAATTATACAAATCTGATATAACCATATTAGAATGCATATACATGCTCAATTTAAATACTAAACCGACTGTAGGTAGGCAGACGAATGTCTAATATAATTTATGGTTAAATTTTGGAAAGACGTTTTTTATAAATATGCAAATCAAGTTTTTTTCAAGTAATTTAAATTAATTCGTTGTTAAATATCAGTACCAAAACTGCAAATTATTTATTAAATTTACCGGATTCATTGCCCTAGAATTGTTAATTTTTTTTAGTTGAAAAAAGTGAATTTTCTTTTTTTTTATTATAGACCAGGGCGGATCTGTCGAAAAAATTGTAGAGTATAATAAATTTCATTAAAATCGGATCGATAGTTTTCGCAAAATAATTTTATGAAAAAAATTTTTCGAATTTTCAAAATGTTGCACAGCCTTAAATAAAGCATCTAGATAGTTGAAACATTTTTCACATAGAAAAGACCGCTCAACCTTTCAAATGGTTTTTGAAAAATTGAAATCGGTTGATTAGGATGGCTACAGTAAATTTTTAAAATTAACACTCTTTTTTTTAATTTTTAAACAATTAGGTTACATTTATCAATTTGTAATTTAATTTTTTTCAAAAATTATGATTTTAAAGTACTCGAAAAGACGCTTTTTTTAAAAAAAATTTAAATTTCGTTTTTTAGTTCTCGAGATATAAGCGGTCAAAGTTTATCGGCATTTACTGTTAATTTAGAAACAATTTAGCAATAATCTTTGATCCAGTGGCTTCGTTTTTCCGAGTTGTAAGCTGGAAAAAATTTTCATATCCATAAGTTATCGGCAACATAGATATATCAGCGGAAAAGCTGTCGCTCGCACGCGCGAAAAGTGACTCAAAACACGAAAAGTGGGGTAGGGGCTTTCGCTCCGAGACTGAATTTTTATTAAGGTAATCCAGAAAAAAATTGCTTGCCCCCTCTCACATTCACCTCAAAACCCTGTTTTTTTATCGTTTAAATCAACGCCTTCCATACATTTATTAAATTGTGAAAATATTGAGTCGTTTCTTTTTAAAATGAATTACAAAATTAATGTTTCAATAAATGAAATTCTAACTGCAAAACGCAGATATTGAAAAGTTTGTGATAGTAATAATTAGTTTTTTTAACACTTCCTTATAGTTTCTATCGCTCAACTTATGCTAAGTCTAATAGATTTCATACAATACAACTTAATCCTTTAGTCTACTAGAAAACCAACAAAAAATAATTAAAAAAATTCAAACACAAAAAGAAAATAAGATTCCACGGCGAGTTGTTCTTTTTAAACATATAAAAAGGATATGACAACTAATAACAATAAACCAATGTCACCTTTTACGGTCTATATATGGCAGCACAATATTTTGTTTACGGTGTTTCATTAAGTCGTATTCGCCTTCAAATTTTTTTATCGGTAGCGGCGATATGTTTCATTTACTTAACCTTTCATATTTAACTTTGAAGTAAAATTAGATAAAAAATAATAACACTAAATCACAATAGACTCTATTTTGGGAGCGACTATTCTAATAAGTGTATAAGTAACACTTGTATTTTCCTAAATTAAACCACTAATTATTAAAATGACTGACTAAAATGTGACAAACTCTTTCAAGTACCGTCGAAACGCATGCACAAGTTCTCTCACGTCCATTTCAACTATTTATTTTTACAAGGGATTAATTGTGTCCCACCGTTCGACCATAAAACAGATAAAAAGTAAGATTTTTAACCTGGATTTTCGGCAATTTCTCGTTTGGACTTTCGCTTACGCGTGTTAGAGAAAGTGCTGCGGTAAGAATGTACTTAACAGCTCGTTTTATAAAGTAAAAATGTGGGAGATAGTTCGAAATTGCGCCACGATCGACAACCATAACTTTAAAAACAACATAAATGCTGTTGTAATCTTATAACGGTTATTAATACTTCTACTACCCCTCTTTCAAATCGCACAGATTAACCTTGTGTGGGAGAAGGTGACGCATATTATTATTCGGTAGGCCGCGTTATTATATAAAGTTTGGGAACTGTTTTACAATCGTTGCACCGGTGTTAAAAATAATATTCAACGAGCGTCCACAGTCTGCAAGTTGGACTACTGTTCGGAACAATTAAATCATTAATTGGAAACCACCACAGCGCCATAAATTACTCTCTTATCGAAAATGAACGATTCTCGTCATATTTATTGCAGTTATATTACGCAACGCAACGTAATAAATTAATTATCGTCACAGCGAAGAGATACGTCGCGTGGACAGCGACGTTTTTTTTTTGTTCCCTGTTCTTCTATTTATATGAATATATGTCACCGAGCTGTTATCACCTCGTACAACCTCGCTGTTGTGGACGATAAAAGAAAGTGAAAGTCGATGATAGTTAATACTAATAAAAAAAACTACGTTAAAATATCTATGTAGTAAGTAATATGTATGTTTACGACAAATATTGGTTTTGATTTAGTTCATTGTGCTCAGATCGTACAAGCAACAGAGTGTTCATAAATTATATAGTCTTTCCGAAGTCAGTTGAACGTGTA